AGGGGAATGTAATAGTGCTATCGTTCTGATGTATGTTTAAAGGGAGAGGTGCCTTTTTTGGTACATGGATATCGTATATGTAATAACAAAATATAAATATATATATTATGAAAAAGGCATCTTCTTATCGTGCAACTGAAAGTTGCTGATGGCTTGCGCCATCTATCGGAATAAATATCAACTATTCTCGTTGATTTTTAAAAATCAACGAGAATAGTTGATATTTATTCCGATAGATGGCGCAAGCCATCAGCAACTTTCCACGATAAGGAGATGCCTTTTTCATAATTTATGCACCTTATCCCAGTACAATGTCACATTTGTACTATTTTTTTTTCAAATATATATATGTAGTAATGTAGTGTTGTTATCCTGTAGGATGACTGTAATGTGGCATGTTGGTTGCAGTCGTGGTGGCCACAATGTTCAGAGTGGGTTCAAGCGTGATTGGGATTACACAAAAGGACGAGACATGTTATATGTCATCACAGAGATGGCGAGAGAGTAAGTGAAGCCGACACCGGTCAGGGGAGATCTGTCGAGAGGGGTCTGTCAATCATCGTGTCTCAAAGCGGACTAATCTGTTTGAGTAAGAAAGGGGCACACCTGGGAACCCGACTTATTTTTCGAATTTTTTCCTCTATTGGCGCCGACTGTCACTCACTCGAAATTTCATTTCTGTCAACTTGGCAATTACATTATAATCATACAACTCATGGGGACATAGGATATAGAATATAGGTATATATTGGAATATATTACAACATAATATCATTAAATTTCTATTTATGTATCTTTAGTTACACTAAATCAAAGGCTCAATATATGAGTAAGATATTTTAATTCTCTCTTAAATATGATATTTCATTTCAATCACACACATATCTAAACAAAATAATTAATGACACCCATTCAAAAATGTATTCTCTTAACTTGAATACAAGGTTGTCCCAAAAGTTAGTAAACACTTGCAAAATTTGAAATACCAATATTAATCGCCGTTATGTATAATGTCTTTGTATTATGTATAAAGTAATTGTATTATTATGTATTCGCCGTAATTCGCCAATTAATAAGAAAAACAACGTTTTAAGAAAAACACGAACATTTGGGATAACCGTATAATATTTTTATATAAGGCACTATATTATCTTTAAAAATATATATATAAATAACGCATAAAATCCTTCCTTAAATTTTCAACATTTGTAGTATAAAAACTAATTAAAATATATTTTTAATATTTCGAAACTTTTTTAATAATTAATATGAAAATAATATATTTATTGAAATATATATTTTATAAATCAAATAATATAAATTTTCCATTTATAAAAAAAAAATTAAAGTTCCACAAACAAACACGATAAGAGAATATATTTTACCGAAATTTGTTTGTTTAAAAATCAAATTTTTTTACAGACGAATATATAAATAAACAATGTGCGCCATTTAAAAAAAATTTCACTGAGAAAGAAAAATTAACAAAATACGACTTAAACAAAATTATCTATCATAATTAATGTCGCATACCTCGCGACATTTGCATGATATTGATTTGTTTTGTATATTTTTACTTGTATATTTGCATGTCCGCGTGAAGCGCGATATCTATATATAGGTCAAAGGATTAATAAAGTTAGAGTTTTCTTTAGTATGAAATCGTCTCGTGTTAATTCTTGTCGTAGAACACGACAAATGGCGCAGCCGGCAGGATCCGCAAGACCTTCCCTGGAAAGCCTCTTAAGGGAGATGGCTGATCAACAAAGCTTAATGATGAGCATTCTTTGTGGAAATAGGAGAGAAGAATATCTCAGTGAAGAGGATTACTATGAGAGAAAGGAATATCTTAAATATTCAATTGTTGAAGATGAAGAAGAAGAGAAAGAAGAAGCAAATATTGAGTCTCTAAAAAGTCTTGAAAAGTCTGAAGAAAATGGAGAAAGCCTCTTAAGGGCGATCGTGAAGCAACAAAGCGTCATGATGGATATTCTTGGAATAGAAGAAGATGATTCTGACGATGAGCCTAAGGGCGACGGTGTAAAGGATTCTGAAGATTTCGATGAACAGAATGAAATAGTAGATGAAGAAGACTTCGATGAACTGAATGAAATGGTAGATGAAGAAGAAGATGATTCTGAAGATGAGCCTAAGGGCGACGGTGTGAAGAATTCTGAGACTGCAATTAAGGGTTGTGAATCGGTGAAAAATACAGAAGAACTTTCTGATTGCATTATTGATGTTCCTAACACCGAAGTTGAGAAAAAGTCTGTTGTTGAAGAAAGTGAAAAAGCCGAAGTTGAGAATAATTCAGTTATAGAAACTGAAAGTGCAGAGTCTCTTACGAAAGAGGATGTTATTGCTGATATTGATGCAGATAATGCAGGACTCTGCGATCTTGATGATGCCACTTTCACTCAAGTTGGGGAAAGTCAAAAGTCTCAAGTTGATAAAAAGTCAGTTATAGAAACTGAAAGTGCAGACGATAACTCTAAGCCTTCAGACGATGCCTCTAAACCTTCAGACGATGCCTCTAAGCCTTCAGACGATACCTCTAAGCCTTCAGACGATACCTCTAAGCCTGCAGACGATAACTCTAAGCCTTCAGACGAAAAGTCTGCAATTGACGATTCTCAACTTACTAAGGAGTCTGGTACTGGCAAAAAAGAACCTACTAAGGAGTCTGGTACTGGCAAAAAAGAACCAAAGCCTGGTACCGGCGAAGAAGCTTTGAGAGAGCTACCTTGTTACGATACTCTATTGGAAACTCTCAAGAAAGGAATCTATTCGTTTCAAACAAGCGGTGAAAAAAGAAATATGAAATTAGGAATAGGTGATTTCAATAAAGGCAATCACGCAAGACGTCGTTTGTTAATATTAAAGAAGTTAACACGCTGCCAAAAAGTTTGGATTTATGCTAAAGAATTCAGCCAGATGCAAAAAAGCATGCTTGATAAATATGACATTGATGATTTACGAAATGAATTGGCCATCTACAATTCCTTAAGAACCCTAAAAAATGGTCAGGTCAATTTATGTTATCCATATTCCTTTATGCTTGTTAAAGATACTGAAAAGACGTTTAGGCTTCTCATAAATATCTTTGAAAAAGGAAAACCATGGCCTTACTATTGTGAAGGAGAACGAAAAAATTATTTTGTTTTCCTAATGGAATATGGAGGAATAACTCTCGAAACGGCTATCAAATCGAGACTTTCATATGAAAACTTATTAGTATTATTTCGCCAGATTTGTATAATTTTTGCAATTGGTGAAGAGGAAATTGAACTTTTACATGATGATCTTCATATTAACAATGTTCTAGTTGCAGAAACAGAAGAGAAACTAATCAAATATGAAGTAGCTTCAAAAAAGATTAAAATCCCAACTCTTGGATATATTGCTAAAGTAATCGATTTTGGGAATGCCAGGTGTATTAAGGATATAGATTATAGACAAAGGATGATTAGTGAATATGGAAAGAGACCATGTCCAATTGAGTATTCAAGAAAGAATCTATTTATGCTGAGTGGACTCTACTTTGAAATGATAAATATGAGTTTGGAACTTCGTGCAACAATACCTGAACTGCCAAGAGTAACTACATGTCTACAACTGTATGAGGGTTTAATTCAAATCTTAAAAGATTTGGCATATCTTAAAGTCGTAGGTAAACCAACATCTATAGGACATTTATATGACATGATTCCTAAGTGGACTAATCCCATGTTATTCGTTGGCAATGAAGACGAACCTTCTGTTTTCTACTATCATGTTTTCAAGCACGATCGTAGTATGATGTGGTGTAACCAGACTAGAAAAGCGCTAAAACGTTTGGATTTGCATGATATGAATTTATCTCATTTTGTCTTTTTTCATCCTGAATATGGAGAGAATTATGAAATCCCTGCCAACAACTGCATTGCTAGGTTGAAAGATTTTGAGATATCTCGACTTGTAGAGAATGATGATCCTAATCCGAATGTTTCTTACGAGAATATTTCTCAGCTAATTTGGACCCATAATGAAATGCGAGAATTTAACTCTGCTTATAAAATACATACTGAATTCATTGAAGAGACATCCACGCAGATTGCCGTTGAAGAAAGTCAAGAATCTCATTCAGAAACTGAAGCCTTAGATAAGTTAGGAGTCCCATATTTCTGGCTAGTTGTCTTGAAGAAAGCTCCTCAGGCCAGCAAGTACATCCAACCCTATGACAAGCCTGTTCTGGCATATCTTAAAGATATTCGTGTCGAGAGCTATGAAGGTTCAATGGGATTTTCAATCCATTTTGACTTCGATTCCAACCCGAATCTAGAGAACAAGACATTGACCAAATCGTATAAGATGAGATGCCTTGTCAAAGGTGGTGTGAGGGTAGGGCCAGAAATCACTGATGTAACCTCGACCCCCATCAACTGGAAGCAAGATATAGCCATCACCAAGTGGCCGGAGGACAATTTCATCATAGACCACCCGGAGTCCCATCACAGGAGTGATGAGAGGTCATGGAGGGGGAGTCTGTCGCATACCTCGCGACATTTGCATGATATTGATTTGTTTTGTATATTTTTACTTGTATATTTGCATGTCCGCGTGAAGCGCGATATCTATATATAGGTCAAAGGATTAATAAAGTTAGAGTTTTCTTTAGTATGAAATCGTCTCGTGTTAATTCTTGTCGTAGAACACGACAATTAACCTAAACATATTTTAGAGATAATCATTAAAATTATCTTTATCAATAAAAAAGCGCTAAAATATTTTCCAAAATAAAAGAAGATAGTCACATACTAGGAAGCTATCTAGGTTAGTATCAAGCCCCTTTAATGCAGAACGCTCAAGCCACTTGGTGACGTCACTGAGTGGGTTTCCCAATATTTGACTTGGTACCCTTCGATTATTCTCGTCCCATTTTTTTTTTTTTATTCTTTTGATTCACTCTGATTGGATATAGGCCCTTTAGGAAGAAATGGGATTTTAATAGCACAATGCTAGTTTAAATTGATGGTTGGCGGAAGGATGGTCTAAACTGTTGGTTTTCGACCGCTACAACCCGGGTTCGATTCCCGCATTGAACACTTTTTTTTTTATTAAGAAAAAATGTTCCAATGGACCCCGATTCTTGCAAAAGTACACCCCCACCAGCGAATGCAAGTAACTAAACGGGGCACTGGCACATTTATAAGTGCAAAGTCGAAATGCTTTTCACATGTGTAGATATGTGGTGCACTTACAGTAAAAGCAGTCGCCTACTTCTACCCACCATGATTATCATGGCCTGTACCACGTGTACTAGGTATAAGCAAAAAAAAAGTCATACTCGATTGGTTGGAAAATACCAATTTCTTTGAGAGAGAACATACGTGTAGTTTCACATTTTTGTTACACGTTCATCCCGACTTTTAATTTTGTAAACTTAACAAGCAATCTCCAGAGTTAGGTTTCCTTTACTTTTACTCTTTTACTCTTTTACACCAGCGAGTGCAAGTAACCATCGTGGCTCTTGCACTTTTGTAATTGCAAAGTCGAACTGCCTTTCACATGTGTAGACATGTGGTGCACTTACAGTAAAAGCAGTTGCCTACTTCTACCCACCATGATTATCATGGCCTGTACCACGTGTACTTGGGAAATACGTAAACTCAACAAGCAATCTCCAGAGTTAGGTTTATTTAAGTAAAAGAAACTTGACCCTAGATTGCTTGTTGTTTATTACTTTTTTGTTGTTATTTATTACTGTATAGTATTGCTATAGTACTATGTCCATATAGATTTACTTATTTAATTTGTTTAGAAATCATATTTTACTAGATAGTTTCACCCTAAGTATTTGTGTAACGATTGTTTAGTTCCCTTACAACCCGTTAAATTCACTAAATTTTTAAACATAACACTCTATTAAAGATATGAGCATTTTAACTATATCTATATATTGTCTAAATATAGAAATAATATATCGTCCCTACAACTGCAAACTATCGAATGTGAAAAATTCAATTTTGAAGGAGAGAGAAATGAAGAGACCATGTGGCCTACCCTCAGTAGAGGAAGGCATTGAAGGAGGGAGAAATGAAGAGACCATGACATGGTCTCTTCATTTCTCCCTCCTTCAATGCCTTCCTCTACTGAGGGTAGGCCACATGGTCTCTTCATTTCTCTCTCCTTCAAAATTGAATTTTTCACATTCGATAGTTTGCAGTTGTAGGGACGATATATAGCAAACACACATAAGTCTTTAAAGATCAATCAATGTAATTTTTAAGTAAATTTGTTCTGAATACTCATGGTTAAAACTTAAGGATGTTTCATAGTTTAAGCATAAACCACTTCTTATTTGCTTATATGAACGGCGGATTTCTTATATATGCAAATTCGAACATTCTCCTTTAAAAATAATATTACAAAAATATATAATAATATTTAATAATAATATATTATATATGATAAAAGGTAAAACTTCCATAAGTGTTGTCCATGAGTGTATATACACTTGGTTATCTCGTGTATCTTCAATAAAGTTCACTGTAATATCTTTCAGAGCTATTGTCTGAATCCCGATATACATGCTAAAAGGTACAACTTCCTTAAAATAAAAGGATTTAAAAGCGCGAATGTTTCTTTTATACATAAAACGAACTTCTACTGTCCATAGTTTACTTGAAAACCATTTCTAAGATTCCATCCTTCAGTGTAGCATATAAAAGCTGAATGATCCAATACAGTATTAGAGCTCTGAGAAGCGGTCTGGTGGATTAAATTGGCGAAACCGCTTGTTCACCACTGATGAACCAAGTCCTCCCAATATTTTTTTTTCATCGCAGTAAGGACAGTAGAAGTTCGTTTTATGTATAAAAGAAACATTCGTGCTTTTAAATCCTTTTATTTTATATATATAGATGGCGCGTTATTGCTTTGTGACAACTTCCTTAAGTTTAGTCCATGAGTGTATATAAAAGCACATACAAAATGCCCAAATATTAGATATAGCTATTCAGAATGAAAAACTAAGAGGTTATTTGACAATGTTGAGAAAGTTGACCTCGAAATATTGCCTAGAAACACGCGCAAACTACAAGACACAAAAAACCTGGGTAATTTGTTCTGGCAACTTGTCAATAACGTCACACACATGTCTCTGCTAGACGCCAATTTACATAGGACCGTTAATTCCTATTTACATACCATCCACATTTATCATAACTGTTCATCCAATCAATCTGTTTAATGGAGGACTCGGTTTTATTGATTTTATTAATAGGTGATCTGGTTGGGTCTATTATATACACTACATGCATGAAACCTTTGTTTCATTGAAGAAGACAAAGGAATTTTGTCACCCTTGGTTATCTCGTGTGTCTTCAATGAAGGTCAATGTAATATCTTTCAGAGTTATTGTCTGAATCCCGATATGCATGCTAAAAGGTAAAACTTCCTTAAGTGTTGTCCATGAGTGTATATACACTTGGTTATCTGGTATATCTTCAATAAAGGTCACTGTAATATATTTCAGAGTTATTGTCTGAATCCCGATATACATGCTAAAAGCTAAAACTTCCTTAAGTGTTGTCCATGAGTGTATACACACTTGGTTATCTCGTGTGTCTTCAATAAAGGTCACTGTAATATCTTTCAGAATTATTGTATGAATCCCGATATACATGCTTAAAGGTAAAACTTCCTTAAATGTTGTCCATGAGTGTATGCACACTTGGTTATCTCGTGTGTCTTTAATAAAGGTCACTGTAATATCTTTCAGAGTTATTGTCTGAATCCCCATATTCGTTATTAAAGTCAAATTACTCATTTTGATTTATGCGAGACACAATTTAAAGTAACGAACATATACACTCATGGACAAAACTGAGTAAGTTGTACCTTTTAGGAAAAGAAAAAAAAAAGGCTTCTCCTTATCGTGCAAATGAAAGTTGCTGATGGCTTGCGCCATCTATCGGAATAAATATCAACTATTCGTTTATTTTTAATTATATCAGGATTGACCAAATACCCATTCTTGAATAATCAAGAAAAGCTAACCATGTACGCGTTTCGGGCTTTTTCACATTGAACCTTTTAGTATTTATATATCGGAATTCTTCTCTCTTCTCTCATACACAACACACACACAATCACAGACAATAACTCTGAAATTTATTTGATATACAGTGACCTTTATTGAAGACACACGGGATAACCAAGTGTGAACAACCTCTGTCTTTTTCAAAAAAAGGTCAATTTTTCGGTCGATCCTCCCTTCACTGTACCTGCACTATTTAATCAGAGAAGCATCCAACCTGTTTGCCACCCATCTCACCTCCCACTCATCTCGCTTAGAAATAATCTAATATATGCCTTTTCAATTAAATATATATATATACGTTATATAAAAATATTATTTTATTTAAAATTATATTTCATAGATTCAAATATTCTGTTTATATCTACCACCAGATGTCGGGACTTTCCCTATATAAAACCGATTGTTGTTGTTTCCCGATGGCCGGCTCAAAACTTTGTAATTATGTAAATAAGTCTTTATTTCTTCTGCGTTTGAAAACTCTCACATAATTTCTGTCTTTCTCTAGCTTCCTATTATACATCCTTCTTTTTACAACAAATCTGTATGCAGATATTTTTTCTACTTATATAGAATTAATAATCGTTCATCTTGTAAAATATTTCTATTTATGCAAATCTATACATGTGCATATATATAGACTAGCCGAATGACCCGGGCAACGCCCGGGTTTTACCCGATTAAATGCTTTTATTCAAATACTATTCGTTACAATTATAAATTGGCGCCGTGGATGTCATTCTTGTATAATATATAAATGAGTTTTAAAAATTGTAAAAAAAAAAATGCATCGGCCGGGAATCGAACCCGGGCCGCCCGCGTGGCAGGCGAGCATTCTACCACTGAACCACCGATGGTTATGAGAAATGGCCATATTTGGGTATTTATTCCATTCACAAAACAAACGGTGACACAATTGATTATTAAGAATTGTTGCTTGATGACTCTGATACTTGTATATTTTAATTCTTGTGAACGTCGTCAGGATATGCTTTTTTTTATTTTAATAACAACAACTGACTATTTTTAATTTTTTTTTCACGCACATTATAATCCAATATACGCCTTTTTAAGATCTATTTATGGATTGCTATATTTTCAAAACGATATCAACTAGTTTTGGTTATGTAGCTCTTCGCCTAGAAATGATCTAATATATGCCTTTTCAATTAAAAATATATATATGTATACATATATCTTCTCTAGGTTCTTGTATTTGCGTAATAGCCTGTTGAAGGACGTCATTGTCCGAAAGCTCGCAGCCTTTTGAAGAAAGAAACTCGTCACGTTTACCTTTGGTCAATTCTAACTATGATATCCTGCTATTCCTTCTATTGTAATTTACATATCCCATCCTTTCATACTTCATCCCTAAGGATAAGAATAGTCGTTATTTCTCCTTAAAATAAATTACGATTTTTTCCTTCTGTAAAAAGAAACATTTGCGGTAAAACTTATTAAATGTCGTTTTATAATTTGCATATGTAGATATTAATGTGCAGTGTATATAAACCAAACGTATATGTAATGTAGGCTGAATCAGCAGCTCATCCTTTCATACTTAATCCCTAACGATAGAAATAGTCTTCATTTCTCCTTAAAATAATTAAAATTACGATTTTTCGTTCTGTAAAAAGAAACATTTGCAGTAAAACTTGTTAAATGTCGTTTTATAATTTGCATATGTAGATATTAATGTGCAGTGTATATAAACCAAACGTATATGTAATGTAGGCTGAACCAGCAGCTCATACTTTCATACTTCATCCCTAAGGATAGAAATAGTCGTTATTTCTCCTTAAAATAATTAAAATTACGATTTTTCATTCTGTAAAAAGAAACATTTGCGGTAAAACTTATTAAACGTCGTTCTATAATTTGCATATGTTGATATTAATGTGCAGTGTATATAAACCAAACGTATATGTAATGTAGGCTGAATTAGCAGCTCATCCTTTCATACTTCATCCCTAAGGATAGAAATAGTTGTTATTTCTCCTTAAA